TATTTAGCATAGGAGAATCTACTACTATATGAAAACTTGATGAAGTTGAAGTTGGTGTGTCTGAATTAAATAGGTTCGGTTTTTACATCAACAAGAGTACCTTCACATCTCCAACAAAAGCATTGCTTTTTTACCATTATTATATATAATATTAATTATTTAAAAAATAAGTAGGGATCGTCATCAAATTTAGACTTTTATACAAACTTTTTTCAGATATATATATAGACGCGTTTTTTTTTAAAAGAAAAATATACTTCATTTTTATCATTATGTCTTGACAAATTACCAATAAAACTATTTTCGATTCTATTAATGTTCTAAAAGAAAATATAGGATGTTTACAAAATAGCATTCAAAATTTAGATCATTCCAATGAACTAAATGAAATAAAATCTTCTTTTAATGAATTGCAGGAAAATTTGTGTAGGCAAAATGTTATACTTTCAGATAATTTAAAGTCTATTGAAGAAAGACTATTAAGAATCGAAGAAAAACAACAAGAAAACAATGAACAATTAATAAATTCTGAAGAAAAATTAGCTGAACAACAATCAAATACACAACCATTAGACAAATCTGATCACCAATCACCACCACTCAAATGTCAAAAATTTGAATGTAACTACCTAACAATTTATCCAATTCTTAGCCAAAAAATTCATAGAAAAATTAAAAACAACTTAACCTGGAAAAATTCTGGAGAAATTATTAATAATGATTTTGTGTATGATCTAAATGAAACTCCTGCTTCAAACAAAAATAAAACAATTACTCTCAATTATATTAAATTTTTTATGGAAGAATATAGATCTTCATCAGCAATCAGTAAGAATCCTTCTGTATTGCTTATTTGAATTTATTAATATTTATTTATTTATTTTATTAATAATAGAAAACAAAGAGAATTGGACTGACTATGTGATCGAAACTATTGCTAATCAATATATTACACATTTGAGAAAAGAAAATAGTAAAAGTGAAAGTGATAAAAAAGAGAGATCTAAATTCAATAGAAGAGCTAATAGAATTCGATTGGTAATTTATTTTTATTTTATTTTCTTGCAACAACATATTCCATTAGAATGTGCCATGGTTTACATATTTTATAATATATAGTGATGACATTTTACATGTTTATAGGGTCCTTTCCACTTTATTTTTATATTCTTTTTTCCAAATAATAATATTTATTTTTAATTTATAATAGAAATCGAATCAAAGAAACAATATACTAAATGATTTAAAAAATGAAGAGTTTCAACATCCTAAAAAAGAAATAAAAATGTTGTTAATGCAAAGATGCACTTCACCAGAAATAACTGATGATGAATATAAAGAAGAAACTGGTGTACAACGTTTATTAGTACCAGAATTAATCTGGCGTAATCAAGAAGTAAAATTTTATTAATTTTTTATTTTATTTATATATTTGTTTATTTTCTTGAGTAATTAACATATTATTGCATATATATATAACTATATTTGTAGGCTAGACAGATATTGAATTATATAGATGAAAAAATTAAAGAAAAAAGTAGAGTTGAAAATCCACAAAGCAATAAAAATCAGAGAATGTATATTAACAGAGAAGATCCTAAATACCAAAGACTAATTCCTTTCATTCAAACATCACCAATAAATGATGAAGAGGACTGGCCAGTGTGGGCAGATTAGTTGATAACATATATTTCATTTGATATGGTGACTATAATTATTTTATGTCATTTTTTTTATTCAAATATACATGTATACATTATGTCATATTATTATTGTATTAGCAAAATTTATTATATTTATATGATGTTTTATTAATGTTTTAATAGCAAATTTGCTATAATTTAATCATATTTAGATTATGTTTTAATAGCAATTTTACTATTATTTATACAGTATTTTAATATTAGTTTAGCAAAAATAAATTGTTTATTTCAATGAAAAATGTTGAGAAAATGACAAAAATAAATTGTTTATTTTAATGAAAAATGTTGAGAAAATGAAAGTAATTTTGACATATTTTTTTGAAATATATTGTTTAAATTTTGATAAAATATTATTGCAAAAAACCAATTTACCACTATATTTTGACTTTGAAAAAAAATTAGAAAAATATGTTATTTTAATAATATTTTAACTAAATTTATCTTTGTCAAAATCAAAAATTTCGACCCGTGTCTATAACTGTCAAGGATTATCACATGACTTTAAAAGTTTATAACTCTTTATAAAAAGAAAAAAATAAACCTATAGAATTAAAGCTAGAGACCTAAGCTTCATTTCCGTCGATTTACTTTTTCATTTTATTAGAAAGCTTTGTGTTATAAGGTTTCAAAGTTAGAACATTTATATGTGTCTATATAATAATAATAATAAATTCGGAATCATCTTTTGTGTTGGTGACCCGGCTTAAAAAATCCCGTGATACAGAAAATCCTTCCAATAAAAGAAATTGATTTATTTAAAATTTTTTTTAAATTTCGGGACTGACGCATTTTATAGTATTAATAGAATAATTAAGAAAAAAGCCATTATTAACTATTATGTAAATTTAATTAAAAATAAATAAATATATTCATACTTCATTTAATATGATTTAGACAATTAATAAATCAACTGCAATTAAGTACTAAAAGAAATGATTTTAGTGATTTTGTAAATTGTAATTTTTTTACTTTAACTAAATATGGCAATGTTCGAACCTTAAGATTTCGCTGATCCAAAACTGTTCTCCATATTGCCAACCTCTAAGATATCCATTTGATATAAAATATTTTTTGAAAATCTTTCTTTTTCGAAATATGCGCGAATCAGGTTATAAATAGTAAAAATATGGCTAATGTATGATATAATCAAAAAAGAAAAAAGGTTTCTTTTCTTTCACAATGAAGATTTTTCATTACTAAAGTCTTCACCCATCGGCAATTTCACCTATAAAAGCAATTAATTATTCAACAGACACCGGGAAATTTTTTTTACAGGATTTACACAGATTGTGTTATATAATTATATTATTTTACATATTATGTTTATATTTTAATAATTTATAATTAATATTATAATATCTATTGTTTATTTCTATTAGTCGCGTGTCAATAATTCGTTTAACTATAGTAATAGATCTATTTTTTGAAGAAGACGAATGAGGGTTCCCTAGCAAAAACCGGTTCCGAGGTCCTCTGACCAAATTTAAGTTTCTTACATAATATTAATCTATAAGCTATAAGCTATACACATGTAAACTCGATAAGTCGGATGCTTGTTTAAAGTGCTCGATAATACATGTGTAATTGGTGAAAATATTAGACCCGTTTACTTAGTAATACAAGGCTACTTTATATATAAAAAACATATGCGCAACATATTTGCAGAGATCGTCATCCAAAAATTTATTATGTCAACTAGAGAACCCCAAATATTGATACAATGTTATTATTATATACAATAAGAATTATCATTAGTAGTATGCGTAACGATGATTCGTTTAACCGTAGATCTATTTTTTTGAAGAAAGACAAATATTGACACAATGTTATTGTTAATAGTACGCGTAACAATATTTCGTTTAACCATAGATCTATCTTTTTGGAAGACAAATATTGACACAATGTCATTTATATACAATAAGAATTATCATTAATAGTCGTGTCATTCATTCATGTTGATTTTTCTTTGATGGTCGCGTAACAATGATTCGTTTAATTTTTTGAAAAAGACAAATTTGTCATTAATAGGTAATGATACATTCATTACCTATTACCACTAGGTGTTTTTTTTTGATGGTCGCGTAACAATAATTTGTCGTTTAACCGTAGGAAGAAAACAAATATTAATATGCAATAGGAGTATGACGGTATTACCTATTACCATTCACATAACAATAATTTAACCATGTATTCATTTTTGAAGAAAGACATGTGTTATTTTAATAAAATTCTTTTTTAGTTAATACATAATAGGTATAAATAAAAATTCTAAAATCGAATATCATTTCTTAATTAGGATAAATTTTGAGGTGATCCTATTGTGTAATGTCATGTGACTTTCGAGTGTTTGAAAATATTTGATCTAATATACTTTATCATATTTTTGTTTGTTTACCAAAGTTTTTGTATTTGTATTCAAAAATGAATCGATAAATAATTGGTAACTAAATTGTCATACAAATAACATAGCATACATATGATTTCAATTGTTTTTTTTTTTTCAAAAAAAAAAAAAAACCTTCTGCTTTAAGAAATAATAAATATTACAATCTTCAATTCATATTCAGCCCAATTTTGAAAGTGTAATAATCTTCATTTTTCATTTTTTTGGGTAAATTTGTATTTAACATTTTACTTTCCTTCAGTTATCATTCATCTATCGTCCCAAAAATATATTTTATTTATTTATTCTTCAGTTTTATTTTTTCTAAAAAAAAAATGCCAATAATTACAACAAGCACATCCGCTGTTTCTTCTTGGTCGCCTTTGACACAATTTGCTTATGGATTTGCTATTTATCCTTTTACTCCTGGTGCGCAAAACAATTCTTCGTCAGATTCTATAAAAGATGCTCAAAGCATAAATGAATCGGTACCGATAGTTAATAATAATAATAATAATAACAATAGTGATAATAATAATAACAAAAATAAAAATGAATCAGATGTTAATAAAAAGGTTGATGGTGTTGTTGATTTAAAATCTAATGAAAAAAATGATTTAATTTCTAAAAAAGATAATAAAATTGATTCTGATTCAAATTCAAATCATAAATTAGTAGATCATGATTCTCAACCTGACAATGAAAAGGTTTTAGATGAATCAGGGAATCATGAAAATAATAAAAAAAAAGATAATGATGGTAGTAGTAGTACTAGTGACAAAATTATTATTAATGCAAATAATAATGTCATTTCTTCGGATTCAGCATCAATATCTTCAAAATCATATATAAGAAATTCACATGTAATATCATATCAAGTTGCACTTGAAGTTGGCGATGAAGTTTATGTTTTTGAAGAACAAGGTGCTTGGTATCGTGGTTATGTTGTCTCTAAATCATGTCAGACCGGAGAACCTCAGGTGTTTGTTGGAATTTTCCCAAAAAATCATGTATATATAAAAGAATATCTTGATGATGTCAAATTACAAGCTAACGAATCAACAAAATCTTTTAATGATGCTGCTTCACTTGATTCTACTACTAGTAATGAAAATGAAAAACCTGCTTCTACTAATGACAATGATGATAATGACAGACCTCCTCCACCACTACCTTCACTTGAATGTGGTGATGATACAATAAGTGGAAAGAATGAACCTTTGATAGATGAAATTTCAAGCGCAGTCAGAGAATGGTGTAGTCTTTTACCTACTTATTTGGAAGAAAGAAGATACTCCATGTTTAGAACTGTTAAAGATCAAATAAATGATTTATTACAGGGTCGAAGGCAACTACTTGCTCAAACTTTATCTCAAGATGAACTGAGCAAGCTACGTAAAGAGCTTATCAATAAACTTGTTTCTGGTAACATAATTCAGGATTTAGATATTATTGTCAGGCATCCCGAAAAAGGTTTTCTTGCTGATGAAACAAATGTATCAGCTATTCGTCTATATCAATTGCAAGGTCATTTATCAATTCTCAATGCAGAAAAATCAAAACATGATTCATCGTTACCTTTCAATAGCCCTACTATTTTAAATTCACCACCAATAACATCACCGTCACTCCCCGCTATTTTACTGCAAAATAATTCCTCCTCTTCCACAACAATACCAACAATTGCCACTAATGATAGTGTTAGTCATGCACCAAAGTTTTACCATGTGTTTTTGGATTTAAAAGCTTGGGTTGCTTCAATTTCTGCTTTTGGTGAATACACCGAATTATATTTTTCTTTGTACACGAAAACAGATTCAAGATTTATTACAGAAGAATATTGTATTATACTTAATCATAATGGTGTACCAAAGGATGAATCAAAAATTCAAAAAATCAGAACATTGTTTACTGATCTTTCTCCTCATGACATTCAAGATCAAGTTTTTCTTATTTGTAGGATCATTCGTACAGGAAGCATGAAAATGGAAAACAAAGATAAAGACTTTTCAAAAGACAGCAACTCTGTAAAATCACCATCATCATCCCTTTCTTCGCAAAATAATCTCAATGGCAATAATAGCACCAATATAAGATTATCTCCACAAACTTTTCGTAGACCATTTGGCTGTGCTATACTTGATATAACTCATTTGATCCAAGGAAAAGAAAAAGAATCTATGAGTGAACACGTAATGCAAATCTATGTGCCAACTCAAGGATCTACTTTCGCTATTTTGCATGAAGACATTATTTATAACCGTGTTAAAGAGTTTGAAAAATCTCCAAGAGCAGAGATGATCAGTGTATCAATTCGTTCATTTTATGGTGAAGCTACAACAATCATCAAGGAAAATACTGCTCTACTTCAAGATATCACTATTACATCTCGTCTTGGATTTGCTGATGTGGTATTTCCAGGTGATGTAAGGAACGAAATTTATCTTAAACTTTGGTCTGGTGATTTCACACAGGGTAGAACCACAACTGCTAGAAATATTCAAGTAACAGCAGAAGTTAGATTAAGTTCTGGCGAAGTTTTAAAAAATGCCATCTCTCAAGGATCTGGTGAGCCACCTGTAACACATTTTGAGTCTATTGTTTTCTATCATTCAAACAATCCAACTTGGGGTGAATTTATAAAATTGACAATTCCATCTGCTTTATTTGAGCAAGCCCATGTTTTTTTAACTTTTAAACATAGAACAACAAAAGATAAAAAAGAAGATAAGTTGTTTGCTTTTGGGTACTTGCCACTATTTCCTGAGAAAAGAGCTTTCATTAGTGATGGAAAACATACTTTGACTTTATACAAATATGATAAGCAACTAATAAATCCTCCATCTTATTTAAGTGTGCCCTGGTCATCACTAGCCACAATAGTTGATACAGCCTCTGTACATCTCACAAATAATCCTCAAATGTCGTTACATAAATTGATCTCCCCATTAAAAGATACAGCTGTAATTTGGACTTATTTATGTTCTACAAAATATACACAGAATGAAGTATTACTCAAGCTATTAAATTGGGAAAAACAATTATTATCAAATGAAAATGAGTTGAAGTCAGTTTTAAAAAAATTTACTTTTGTTAGTGAGGTGGAAATTGTTAAATTTCTTCAAGATATTTTTGATGCATTATTTGGTATTTTGGTATCAGCAAGGAACCAACAAGGAGAACTAGATGATTTGATATTTAATGCATTAGTAACTATTCTTGGAATAGTTTCTGACAGAAGATTTATGAATTTTAAGCCTGTACTTGATGTATATATTGAAAAACATTTTTCCTGCGCTGCTGCTTCATCTCATTTCATCAGATCAATGAACCATTTAGCCTCTAATCCAACAGGTGTAGAAACTGCAAAAAATCTACGTTCTGCTATCAAAGTTTGGCAATACATTTTCAAATTTATCATGAGATCCAGGGAACTGCAAAGAACAAAAGAAACAGATATGGGTCTGTCAGGAAATTATGTTGAAGAACAATTCAAAACTGATCTTTTCTCTTTATTTAAAAGTATAGACAAATTAATGTCAATTACCACACCACAATCAATAATTGGTACTCAGGCATTAGCCATGCAACATTTTGGTTCTATTTTCACTGACCTTGGCAAATGTTTCTCATCTGATGACCTAATATTGATTGCAATACGATTTACTGAATCGGTTCGGTTGCCTAAAGGTAAACTTTTAGCTTATAAACTTTTGGTGATTCTACAATTTTGTCGCGGTCCATTATTTGAAAATCCCGAGTCTAGAGCAACCCTAACACCTAGAGTGGTTGAATGGCTTTCTGATCATATGGGTAGATGGGAAGTTACAAATAAACAAACTAATGATTACGAAGCTGCGAGATTACAATGGCAAGATGGTATTAGGCTGTGTGTGTCTATTTTGGCAGTTATGTTGGAAATCCTACAGAATTCAATTGAAAAGGCTTCAAATGACAAAGAATCAACTAAAAGAGAAATTGAAAATGTGATGGTGCTTCTTCCATTGTTGATGAAACTCTGTGAATCTTATCGAGAATTACATATTACTTCTTTTGATGAACATGAAAGTTTACATCATGAGCAAAATCCCTTGTCTTCTTCAAATTTAACAAATCATTCAGGGACACCATCAACCATAAATTCATATAGATACTCAAAAGATTTTCCCTTTTTCCAATCGTCAAATAAAATGTCTAGTGGTTTGGGTGAAATAGCAACAGTTTTATTACAAATAATATATTTAGTATCACAAAAAAACATGAAAGAGCATCTTCTATCAACTTATTATAGAGAAGGTCATGATTCTACAGCAGAATTTCTGATTATTCTGTTCCAAGTTGCACGATCAGTACTAATAAATGATGCATTTCCAAAATCATGGTTAAATATGAATATGATAGCTCATAAAACCTTTTTAAAAGTCCTTGAACCAATATCAATAATGATGGAAAAAAATTATATACCAGGTAAAGAAGCACCAAATTCATTTAATGAAGAACTTTGGAGAGAATATTTCAATTGTCTTTTGTGTCTGCTTACCAGTAGACATCTAGTGATTGAAGATTTCACGCCACAAAAACGTCGTGCAATATGGAGGTTGGCAGGTGATATTCGTGGACAAGGAGCAAAATTATTATCAACATTATGGAATGCTATTGGATGGGAACAGGGTAAAGAAGGAAAAATGGGTGGTTATCAAGTTCGATTCATAAACACATTATTAGGCCCAATGTTAGAATTGTGTCTGTCTCATCATGATGAGTTGCGTTCTGCTGCCACCACTGTTTTATTCAGCATGATAGTAACACAATATATGCTAGAAAAAGATTTGAAACAAATTGAATCAGACATTATTGATATATTTGATAGACTTTTCATGTCTGAAACTAAAGGTGATGAAATGTCTTGCTCATATTTTATTGCACAATTGAAAGGATTATTTGAAGAATCTTTGGTCGATATGGATTTAAGAGACGCAATGATAAAGTTCTTGGATTCTTTGAATGAATTTTTAGAACTTTTACTTGGCGTTCGTGAATTACCCGAGGGTGAAGAATTCCAGGATGATCGAATTATGTGTACACTCAAACTTATGAAATTCATAAAAACTATTGAAAGGAATCAGATTTATATCAAATATGTGCATCAGCTTGTTCAAATGCAAATCAACAGTCATAATTTTGTTGAGGCAGCATTAACACTAAAATTACATTCAGATTTATACAACTGGGATCCAAATATTGAAGTGGAAGCATTACCTGAATTAAATTTTCCTAAACAATCAGCTTTTGATAGAAAGGAAAGATTATATCTTCAAATATTGGGTTATTTTGTTAAGGGAAAGGCTTGGGAATATGGTATAGAAATATGCAAAGAGCTGGCCAAACAATTTGAGTGTACCACATTTGAATATCAACGTTTAAGCAATATACTTAAACAACAAGCTGTACTTCATGAGAACATTATAATGAAGGAACGCTATTTCAGTGAGTACTTTAGAGTTGGATTTTATGGTAGAGGATTTCCAGCTAGTTTACAAAATCGACAATTTATTTATCGTGGTTTTGAATGGGAAAAGATTGGTGCATTTTGCGAACGTATGCAGAACAAACACACACAAGCTCAACTACTTAAATCAAATAGCCCTCCAACTGATGACATTCTTCATGGAGATGGTCAATTCCTTCAGGTGACAGCCGTAAAACCAGAGCCTAATAAAGATCTCCCTGTATTTAAAGGAGATGTTCCATCATCTATTCGCTCCTATTATGAGTATAATTCTGTAGACACATTTAGTTTCTCCAGACCTGTGAATAAGAATCCTAATGGCATTAAATCTGGCAATGAATTCTTGGATTTATGGACAGAAAAAACCATTTTAATTTCTAAAGACCATTTTCCAACTGTTTTACGACGATCTGAAGTGATCAAAATGACTGTGTTTGAAGTTTCGCCAATTGAAAATGCAGTGACTACAATGAGATCCAAGAATAAAGAATTATTAATTTTAGAATCTAAATATAGAGCACTTCTTAATTCAAATAATGTGGGAACTGCCAAGGTCAACACTAATCCTTTAACAATGTCACTAAATGGAGCAGTGGATGCACCTGTAAATGGTGGTGTGCCCATGTATAAAAAGGCATTTTTCGATCCTGAATTCATATCAACTAATCCTGATAAAGAATCACTAGTAAGAGATTTGAAAGAATCAATTGATGAACAAGTTTGTAAAAAATTAATATTTATATATATTTGATTAATAAATCGTTCATTTATTGAATAATATAATCTCATAATCATCATCACAATTATTATTACAGGTTGAAATTATTTATAGATGTTTGCAAATACACGATTGCTTAGTGTCACATGACATGCGACCATTACACGAGACTCTGTTTAAATGTAACTAATAATAAGAAGTTTATTATCAATTATATATTCATTCAAATGTTTTTTGAATAACATAATCTATAACATTTATTTTAGTTTTCCATAAAAATTTTGCTGAAGAAATTAAAAGATTAACAGAACGTAGAAAAGCAAAAGAAGGCGAAAAATCAAAACAAATAACAACAAATGATCATCAGGTTATATCAACAATTGTTTCGTCGCAAACTTCACCATTTTTCCTACCGCCATTAAATGTCAATAACCCTAATCGGATTCCATCATTTTACGCAATTTCACAACTAAATGGTGAACAAATATCACCTACATCACCAATTGGTACATCACCAATTGGTCCATCATCTTCATCATCAATAATTACTAGAGTTGCAGCAGCAAAAGCAAATTTTAATTCATCTAGGTTTTCACCAATGCAATCTGGTTATAATAATAATAATAAAAAGACATCTGAGTCACCAACATCTGATAGTAGCAATGGTATTATTATCAATTTACCAGATAGTCCTAATGGGTTTACACTTTCAGATGCTTTAATGATTGAAAAAAGAAAAGTCACACCAGAAAGGAAAAAATCGTTGATATCTGCTGAGAGAAGAATGACACTCAGAGGGTGGTCGTTTAATAGGAATAGAAGTTCAACTAATTAATAATTGAATAATTTATAATACATAAAAAAATTTCCTGGTGTCAAATACAGAAATGTAACAACTTACTGAAGTTATGGTAAATTACCATATATAATCAGTGTATATATAGAATAATAATATTTATTGTAGTAGTAGAATTGTAGAAATTGTAAAAATCGAATTTAAATTTTCCTTTGTCAATATTAATAATTAATTAATTTATTTAATTTATTTAATTTATTTACTTTATATTTAAGAAAAATAAAACTAAAAAAAATCGCAATGAATTTTTATCCTTGTTGTACGTGAAAATGAAATTATGTGAATTCGCAATTCACATATGTGAAATTCAAATTTACATACGTGAAATTCAAATTAGCCAATCAGAATTTCACCTCACTCCATAATATTTCAATTTCACATAATTTCAATTTCACATACAACATCCTCAAGTTTAGTTACACTGGAAATACCTATAAAATAATATGGTTATTGAGCATTGGGATTTAAAGATTAGCTACATATTTGGAAAAGAAAATCGCGGAATATCAAGGTTATGGTAAGAATGGGAGGCTCTTATAATAATTATGCGAGTTCCGAGAAGATGGGGAAGAGTATCAAGAAAGTTAGACTTGCTCTCAAAGAGATATAATAAATATATTGATAATTACATTTAATTGAGCGAGGAATCAGAAATCATTGTTTACTTATTTTCACTGCCTGGAAGAACCTCATTTTTTATTAATTTTACACAATATTTATTATGCGCTCGTGCACCCGTTGACTGAATTTAGATTATCTTTGATAAATGAATATTTTTATTACTATATTAATTTTCGCTCTCTCCAACTCAAGTTATACTGTATTAATTAATTCGTTATTTTCACTATCAATATCGATATTATTATTATTTCATTTACTACTTATTTATTTACGTCATTGGTAAATCAGTTCTCCCAATAAGTCACGACCGACTTATCGAGTTACCTATGTACACCGATCAGGCCACGGTTAATTTTGATTAGATTATTTTAAGGAATTAAAAATCTCATACGAATATTTTTTAAAAAAAAAGCTTCACACATAAAAATAAATATATTTGACATTAAAATTCTAATTCAAAATTACATTTACATTCTCTACCATTATGAGTCTTAGTAGTTGCAGTAATTTCATCTTGATCAAAACAAAGTTCATATTCGGTACGTCTATTTTTTCCTAAATGAACATCAGGTACTTCTACTGTAAATTTTCCCAACTTGTAAACACCAGGCTCATCACTATATGTTGTAATATTATCTGATATATACAAATCCACAATTACATGTGTTTGATATTCATGGGACATTATAAAACATGTAGAAAATTTCTGACCAACTTTAACTTGTTGACCTTTAGTAGCCATCCAACGCATTAATCTTACGTTTCCACATTTTTCACGCTTCGCAACCGGAAACTCACAAGTCCAAGGTTTTTTAACAACTATCCCATAATTATATTTCAACACCCTATTCTTTATCACATCTTTATTCAACCCATACTCGACTGCTCCTCTCACAATGGCACATGCTGGCTCAGAGGGTACTGAAACAATAGAAACATTTTGTTTCTTTTTAAATTCTTCTTTAATTCTTTTTTTTAAGTAAAGTGATTCACTAAATCCACCAACCAAAAATATTGCTGAACAATCACCATTGCTTGCCTCTAATTGACTGCGTATTAATCTAATTATCCTACCAATAACAGGATCAAAAAATGATTTGATAGTTTCATAATCTAAGTTGATAAGCCATTCATCTTCTTTCAATTGATCCTTTTGTGGGTCTATTCATTTGTTTATATGTAAGTGTGTTTGGTTAAATTTAATGGAAAACTTTTTTTTTTAAAAAAAAGAATAAATTTACCAGCTATATAATCCTTAAGTGCAGGACAAATTTCTTCAATATCAAAATCATATTCAACATCCTCATCTCCACCATCAAATTTAAACTTGACGTTGTCACAAAATCTTTGAATCATATATTGATATTGTCCATACTTTTTTTCTTTTAATGATTTTATTGCATTGACACCAACCTTTCTACCAATATATTTAACAAATTCCAAATCAACAAACGATCCACCACACAAATCTCCAGAACATTCTGTAACTTCTCCAAGTCGATTTCTTGGTAATAATTGACGCATGGTCAAATCGACTGTACCTCCACCACAATCAACAATTAAATATTTTTCTATAAAATATTTTTGTGTGAATTATCAAGTATTTTTTTTCTTAAAAATTTAATATACATACATATGTATTATATATATATATAAACTTTTTTTTACTTACTTCCAGTAATTCTAAAAAATTTCTTTCTCATTAATTTCCTACAATATATCGCTGCAGCTTCAGCTAAATTACCATATAAAATAAATGTTAAAATTTAAATAAATAAATAAATAAATAATAATATATTTTTTTTAGATCTTACGTTCAGTGATAATTTGTAAATGCGAAGAACTTTTAATGTTTGTTAATTTTGCATCATAAGCACACTTTTTCATTGTATGCTTTGCTTGTTCAGACCATTCAGATGGAACGGTGAGAATCAATAATACATTTTTCTTGAAATTTATACCAGGCCAACGAGTTTCAATTGTTTGTTTTGCATGCTAAAAATAAAATATATTTATATATTAAAAAACCAAAATATCAAGTGTATATTATTGTTATACGACAATAATAATCATAACACATACCATGCCTTTCATATTAAAAACAAAATAAGTAATAATTTTTTAAATACAATAATAGTAGTAATAATAATAATAAAAACAATAAATTTACCTACCAATGATATGAAGATAATCAGTGATTGCTTTAGTGGAATCTAATCCATCTGGTAATTTAGGTTGTTCTTCTACTGGTATCTTTTCACTTAAATGTAATTTAAATAATTCAACTATTTGATCTTCATCTTTGCTATCACTATTATCATCAATTGTGTTGTTGCCAGATGGTTTCTTTGATAAAGCTTGGTGTCCCCAATATTTAACATTTTTAAAATTTTCATCATATTGCAATACTGTATTAATCTTGAATTTTCCAATTAAACCTGGCCATGCAGAATTTGTAATGATTTGTGGATGTGTTTTATTTGAATATGCATATCCCTAAATGTATAAATTTGAACTTACTATATATATGTATGATAAATAAAATTGTTATTTTTATTTATTGTGTAGTTAGTTACCGAATAAGTGCTACCAAAATCTATAAATTAATTCATATTAATATTGTTAGAATCTTATCCTAGTACGGATATTTTTTATACAAATTTATGATGATAATAAATTTTACCTATAGAAACCACTACACGGATATCGTTTGAAGAAAACATTAATCAATTGTTTTTTTTTGAAAAAATCAAGCAGATAAAATTTAAAATAAATCATTTTTTAAAATGAAAACAGGCACATTGTTAATCCTATTTTAGATAAATAAAAAACGAAATTTATATTGATCTACTATTTGTTTTTTATCTGTATTATTCACGGAATGTATATATAGTAATAAAAATGTGAAAAATTCTCTTTATGACACTATTCAAAATGTCATCTGTTCCCATAACTGTCTCTTATAATTCAGCTACTGGAAACTATGCTTTAAGTGGGATTCCACTTACAGGTGTGATGAGGAATGAGCTCGTCAATTATTTTATCCACGAACATGTTTAATAATCAAATAATTGACGACAATAATGGTAATTACACCAGTCTTATGTATTTGGATAATAAAACATTTGAACATAATCTATGTAATGGAACACTTGGAGAGTAATCGCCAAAATTGTTGTTAGCAATGATAATGTTGAAGTCACTTTTCCTAAACTGATAATGTATTAAAATTAATACTCAAAAAACAATTTCATATTTCAATATCAATGAATAAATATATCTAGGAATCAGCTCCCAATCCGAAATGTATTCGCACTGACCATTTACAAGATACAAGGCTTAACACTAACTGTAGATGATAATATGCTTGCACCAGGTCAGATATATGTAGCATTAAGTAGAACTTCTTTTTGGATTCTGTAGATGTTGTAGATCAGAGAATAACGGGCGCGGATAACACAAAATTCATGACCAAAAATTTGAGCAGAAAATAAAAATCCGTATGTTTTATAACGAATAAAATAAATGTATTCTTTATATGATCCCTCCCTTTCAGTATTTTACATACTACGTACTTTATACGCGGAATCAAACGTACTATTACCTTTTCAGTATGTACAAATTTCGTGCTGATTACGTATCAATTCCGTATTTTACACTAATACTAATAGTACCAAATTTGAAAAGGGGAAATTTTTCAAACCGCATAAGAAATACGTTAATTCCGTATTTTTATTTTTCATAAGGAGTTTGGCCATTAAAAATATGTCTTGTTCTGATTTAGAAATGATTCATGTAATTCTGCAACTTCTCTTGGGAATTATTGAAGAATCACAACCTTTTCTAAAAAATCAATTGCCTTTTCATATTCATTAGAACCATTATATTTCTTACTTTTCATATACTTATATTCATATACAGTATATAGTTTTATCACTATTTCGCAAAGAGCTAGATTGTCAAGAAATTTTTAAATTTTCTGACAAAAATTGATTGGTTTATTAAACAACAGAGTTCATTATTACTATTTCAAAAATGATTGTTAAATTTTTAAAATAACAAAATATTGCGTAGATGAGGCAGCTTATTACGAAGCCAAAAATTTTATTCTGTCTATTTGTCTATTCCTATTATCAAGGAATTTTTTTTAGTGATAATACCATAATTTCTAAAATAATGTGTGAAGAGTTAAAAGACCAAGAGGATTGAAGGTTTAAGAGAAAAGATTTACACAGGACTGTTTGTCGATATTTGGTTGTTTATATAAGTGCAATATGATGGATGTTATGACAAATGAATTTTATCATAAAATGTCACAAATGCACCAGAACATCATTGAATGACAAGAATGCGATTAAAAACGACCAGAAAAAACCTTGTTATTACTCCTTCTAATAAAAATTTTTTCTTCTCTAGTGATATGTTAACTTTGCAAATATTGCTCGTATTGTTTCTGAAAAAGTAAATAATAAAATATATATTTCAAATTTGCACCTTATATCAAAAGAAACTAAATTTTACCCTATGTAAGTTTTATTAAAATTAAAATTAAAATTTTTTAAGATGGGCAATATCTACTTATAGCAGATGCAACTAATTTAAATGGTTCTTCAACCAAAAGACTTGATCCCAATATTTTTCATATATACACAATAGTTTTGTTAAATAATAATTTATTATTGCTGGAATCTTTTATTACAATCTTTAACATTTCAAGTCAAATACTTAATATACAAATATGAAATAACAGAAATTTATCTATGAGCAAATTATTTCTATCTACATCTTTTTCTGTGGAAGCTTTAACAAAGTAACAAATTTTTATAGTTATTTTCAATAGTGATTTGAAGTTAATTTCAATTTATAATTTAATAATTTTTGTAATAAAAAATAAATAACTAATTGTTGCTCAATTCAATTCAAAACACTTTGTCCTCATAGAATTAGTATGAAAGACCTTGACTTTCAAAATTAGCTATTTAAAAATAAGCGTATAAGTTTTTTTCGCGAAAAATGACTTTTTAATATAGTAAAAAACATTCGTGTAACGGATTTGTTAAACTAACCCCTAGATATTATTGTAAAGTTTCCTTATATTAATATTAATATTATATCTTAATATATTAATATTATTATTATTACAAAGTTTTTTTTTAAAAATGTCTTCTTTACCAAAAAGAATAATCAAGGTATAAATAATACAAATAATTCTTATATCTTAAAGTCGTTTGTTGTATTGAGCAGTGATTAAAAGTATTGTTGTAATTATTATAATATTGACAATTAGTAAAAAAGATAAATTATTATTATTATTCAATGTTTTTAGGAGACTGAACGTTTAATACAGGAACCAGCTCCTGGTATAAGCGCAATACCACATGAAGAAAACCTTCGATACTTTGATGTTATTATAGCTGGCCCAACTCAGTCACCCTTTGAAGGTTAATAATACTAAACAATAATATATAATAATGAATAATGATATGTTTTTTTTATGATCTAATAAAAATATACTTGTATACTATTCTGGAAAAAAAATAGGCGGAGTTTTTAAATTGGAACTTTTTCTTCCTGAGGAATATCCAATGGCACCACCTAAAGTACGTTTTATAACTAAAATATATCATCCAAATATTGATAAACTCGGAAGAATTTGTTTAGATATTTTAAAAGGTATTTTCTTTTTTTTTTGGGGAGAATAATATTCTATATATGTTCACCTTATACATACTCATCATCATCATCATCATCATCATCATCACTGTTTTGTTTTTGTTTTAAGACAAGTGGTCACCAGCTTTACAAATTCGTACTGTACTTCTTTCTGTACAAGCACTTTTATCTGCTCCAAATCCTGATGATCCACTTGCTAATGATGTCGCACAACATTGGAAAGAAAATGAAAAGGCTGCAATCGCAACAGGTAAACTAACCAACAACTAGTTAATTAATTATGATATTATGGAATAGGATTGAACATAATAAAAATTGAAAAATTAATTGATTTTTTTTCTACTGTATATATTTATAAATAAAACGAATAGCTCGAGATTGGACTAGGAGTTATGCTCAAGGTTAAGCAAGTAAAGAAAATCAATAGAATAGTGTTATTATCAATTTTTTTTGAATATATATATTTTAGTTTACATTGCTTAAAAAATAGAACATTATATATATACTATTCATAATCATATTTTAGGAAATGATCTTGATAATTTATTATCTTGAAAGATATTTATATAAAGAAAATTCAACAGCTAATTTTTTTATGTAACAACAATAAAGATAAAGATAATTTAATCAAACCAATAATTATAATTAATGATTGTTATTGTTATTAACTTATTTTGAATTTATTATCTTGTATTTATTTATATTTTAAAGTAAAAATTTCAGTTCACAAGAGCCTTGGCTAAATAAATGATAAACTCTGCTTTATTATTTAAGAAATAAACAAATTAATTTCCATTGACAATTCTCTAACTTCATCAATATTTAATTAACTTCATCAATCCTTATTTTGTTAATATGATGACTGTTAATAAAGGATAAATATCATATTAGTAATTAATTAATAATTAGATTAATACCTCATTAGTTATTGATGGAATTTTAATTTACCTTATAAAAATTAGCTCTTCAGATAACAAAACAAAATCAAGATTGCTTAATGAACTATCATTACTTTTCAAATTTTTACGTTTGGTAATTTCATTATCTAATATTTTATAAAATTTGTTGTGAATTGCTACTACTACCATCATGGTCATCATTATTCCTATCATCATCACCACTAACACTGTTACCATTATTAAAATCAAATGTGTTTTTTGATGATTTAAATAATCTTTTAATCTTTTTTGTTGGCATTTTTTTTCCAACTTTATAAATATCTTCATCAGTTGTGCATAATTATCAGGCAATATTGATAGTGAATGGCCTGCAAATATTTTCCACATAAGCATTCAACATTATAAATATTTCTTTTGTATTTTTTTTTCTACTAAGTAGCTTTTAATGATTTATCACCAACTGACCCACATGATCCCAAATCTGTGTTATAACAATGACCTTCTTCCATTAACATATTTCCAATATGTATGTAAATCATAGTAGATAAAATTTTTTTTATGTATAATATAATGCATTGCATAAACCTTTAAATATCTATCTTGAATTTTTTTTTTAACCAATCTCCTAAATTTCCTTCATTCATACAATTTAGAACAACTGCATAATTTCAATTATCTGAAAATTTAGTTATATCATAACAAGGAGCATTCTTTAATACAAATTCATATTGAATTTTTCTCCTAAATATTCCTTTTCACTTTTTGATAATCCCTTGTTTTCTTCAACTAATTGTAAAAACAATTACTCCGACTTTCTGTATCAGATGTCCTAATAGCTAAACAGGCATATTATTATTATTATTATAAGTTCAAATGACACTTTTAAAGAAAAAGAAATACTTTTTTTTTGATTTACGCATTGTTTTTATTGCAAATTTTTGTATTACAGTAAAAAATCAATGACCGACTTTGCTAATACTATTATTATTTTTTTTACATGTTTGAATGGGGAATAGCATGTATTTCTCAATGATAACAACGGTGACACAATAATAGTAACAGCATTAGTGGTAACAGAATTGGTGGTAACAGCATTGGTGGTGGTAATAGCGAGTTTAAATTGTTCTGATTTGCATTAACAGAAACAAACCCTTCTTCCACCATTCAAATAACCAATAATAATAATAATGTTAATAGACAAGAAAAAAAATCACAACATTAATAATGATATAGTATTAATAACATCAATGACAACACAATTTCTTCTATGGTTGGCTCGGTCTAAAGGCCTCCTATTGCTGCGCCGCGCGCTCAAATTTCAAAAATTGCGATTTCATGATTTGTTCAAAAATGCAATAAAATTTTTTATAAAAAGGGTTTCACGTGATTTTGGCTAAATATTTTCCTTACTGCCAAATTTAGATATGACGGTCGAGTATTAGTCTAAATTTAGTAATGATAATCAAAAACTGGTCTAAATTTAGCAATGATCTTAGCTCTCAAATTTCTCATAGCATAGTAAAGTACATGTTTTTAAAAAGAATAGAACTCTACAACAAATAATTTTTTTGAGAAAATCTCTTTATTACATTAAAACTAAATACATATTCTA